ATTATTAATTTAGAACTCGCTAACTGAAAAAATTATAATCCCGAAGCCATAAGGTTCAAATCCTAGCTCCGTCTCTGACTCAAGAAACAGTAAAAATAAAGTACTCCCTCTGTTCCAATTTATGTGAACCTATTTTCTTTTTAGTCCTTTCCAAAAAGAATGAACCCTTTCTAAATTTGGTAATAATTTAGCTTAAACTTACAATTCTACCCTTAATGAGAAGCTTTTATAACCACACAAATACTTTGGGCCCCTTTTTGACTTATTTAGGACCACAAATACCAAAAGTCTTCATTTTTCTTAAACTTCGTGCTCAGTCAAACAGGTTCACATAAATTGGAACGGAGAGAGTAATAAACAGTAACAACGACAATATAATACGAACAAATGAAATAACACGTGAGATTGCAATAATAATAGTTCCTTAAATAAAAATGATTGAATACGTACTGTATATTTACACCTTTGTTGATTGGATTCTTGACTCGGCCATTTACCCAAGAATACGCGAGGTCTGTCCTATTTGCCTGCCACATGTAATTATTTACCAAGGTAATAGCGAGGCTAATATTAGTACCAGAAAATATTTCACTAATATCAGAGCCTGAAGTTCTTAATCTCAACGCTGGAATTTGATTTTGTAAAAGTAAGTCAACAACCATTGATGGAACTAATTGTTGTGACTGCATTCTGCCCCATGTTATGCCCACAAAGCTGTTTACTCGAATTGCCATGCACAAAATTATGAAATATATGCCTATAATAAACCTCATCTTGCCCTTTTTTCCTTGAAAGTATTTAGCTTCACAACAATTTTTCGGACTTCTTTACCGTTGCACTAAGGTTTTTCTTTTTTCGAGGAGTTATTTTTACCTTATTTGCGCAGTATAATAGAAGGTGATACCTTTATTGACACAAATTGAAATTTTATGGGGTCTTCAAATAATATTTGAAGATCCCAGAAATAGGGTTGCTTAATTCTACATGGGTATATATATTTATATATAGATGGAGATAGAGAGGGTTGGGGGTGGGGGAAAGGTGGAGAGCAATGTTACCAAAGAATAGAGAATTGTAAAAGATGAAGAAACAAAACTTGTTTCCCTCAATAATTTAAAGGAAAGGAAAACCAAAAAGAAAAAAGGCTAATGTCAAAGGTGGCCATCTATTTCCGATTATTCAGCTTCACTACTTGTTTTACTTATCATTTTGTTTATTATCAGATATATATATATATATATATATATATATATATATATATGTATTTGTATGGATAGACATACTAATTCTGTTACATATTTGTGGTTATAATTTAATACTACTAATTTTGGTAAATAGTACTACAAATTCTTTTTACAGTGTATATATATAGGTTATTAAAGGAAACTACTATTCTAAATATGAACGGTTTACTATTTACAATCTACCGCGAATTTATCAACCTATCTAAATGGATTTCTTTGTCACCACTAATTTAGTATTTTCATTGATAAGATATAAACTTTTTATTTTCTGTGTTCAGATCAGCTTTGTCTTTATGTCCATCAGTTTTTAACAAAGCAAGATATGTTAAAGCAGTGGATAATTTCCTGCTTTGGCTTGTGTTTGAAAGAAGGTTTTTGGTGATCAGTTCGATTCTCTTAGTGAGGAATTTTGAGAAATTTTTGATGACACACTTAGATTAATTAATGAATATAATGGCCTTCATGAAGAAAGGAGTAGAGTCCTTTTCTTCTTAATTTATTTCATAAAAAATATAATTTAATACTATTTAATTTCTTATATATATATATATATATATCAGAATCAATTCAGCAGAGTGTCCTATGATATAGATCAGTATTTTAAATGGCATTTTTTAGGCGAGCCCTGGGCGAGGCGCACAAAAATAGCCCCGAAACGATGGTGGGGGGCGAAAGTCTCAAGAGGCATACGCCTAGCAATTCGAGACAAACCCAGGCGGTGAGGTGTGTTTTTGTAGTGAGGCGTAAGCCCAAGAAGCTTTAATTAAAACAAAATTGTTGAATAAGTCCTTAATATAATACCCAAATTCATAAAAGTAAGCTTATAATTACTCAAAAGTTTTAAAAAGGAACTGAAACATTAAATTTACACGTCAAGACCTTTTTTTTATAACTAGAAGCCTTAATTTATAGTCTTCTCCAATTCTTTATCTTGTCCGCTAGCCTGCTACTATCTCCCAAAAGCAACGAACAGTCAATTTTTTTGCAAAAAAAAAAAAACTCCATTCTCCTCCATAGCAACAAGTTCAAAGTTTAAATTGCAGATTAGTCATCCTTTTAGTTCCTCTATGTAGAAAACTTTATTCTTTTCAACGTAAGTCACTTGTTCTTGTAAGTAGCAAGAACAATTCTATAATGATTGTTTTGACTATTTTTTTGTGTTGACAGAGCACATCTATATATATTTTTCACTTATTTATAGTTTTCTTCAATTTTTATGCAATTTATCTATTTAAAATATTTTTGATAATTATATTATTTTTTGAATATTAAAAATTAAATACCCATAGAGCTTCACCCCATACCTCAAAGTTATCACTGTGGCATGTGTAAAACGCCTCAGCCTTTTAAAACACTGGTTTAGATGACCAAAATTAGCTTGAACCAATTGGGCGGCAGCTTTCCTTGTATCGTATAATGGGTATTGGGGAGTGAAAACGAAATATAAAAAAAAAAATAAATAAATAAAATAAAATAAAAAAAAAAGGAACCGGATGGATCGGGAGGTTTGAACCCGACGTGAATCGAACACGCAACCTTCTGATCTGGAGTCAGACGCGCTACCATTGCGCCACGGATCCGGGTAATGTTAACTGACCGAAAGATTATTTATTTATCTCTTCTAATATATATACTGCATTTTTTTCCCCTTTTCTGGGCACACTTTTCCTTTAGCCTATACTTACATTTTTATATTTAGAAATAAATTAGCTCTAAACATCTTACTTTTTTCTTTGGGCCGGAAAGCCACATAGGAATTAGATTTAGATATAATTGGGTGTATTGGAGAAGTGTAATTATACTCTCCAATTCTCAGGGGGATATGAGAATTGGTGGTAATTACACTGTGCAATTACAGGTTGCTTTTTTATTTCTTTCCTTTTTATTTTATTTTCTTTATAACTTTTTTTCATTATTTTAATTTCTTTTTCTTCTTTTTTAAAAAAATATATTTTTCTTTGTACATTATTTATCTTTTATTTCTCTACCTTTACTTCTTGTAATTTCATGTAATTTCTCGTATATTTTATTTATTATTTGTTTTATTTTCTTCATTTAGCGTAACTGCGTTATTATTCTAATTTTTTAATCTACACCTTCTAATATTAGAAATAATGAGTCATTAACAAATTTGACATACAATGAGTGATGTCATTAAAGTAGAATTTCGTTGTTGAATGAGGTTATAAACTTATTGTGTTTCATAATCTTAAGTTGTATTAGAACTTATTTTTATTATGTTGGAATTTGACATATGTTAAACTATCTTTTTGTTTTTTAGATTTTGAAATTGTGTTATATTTATGGTTCCAGTTTACTTGTTTTAGTAGTATTGGCTTGTTATTTCACATTGCATGTAGTTCATTTTTTAGTTAGTATTGATAGATTAGTTTTGTCAAACATTTGAATAATGTTATGATATTATATTTATAAATACTAATTTATTTGATCAAACATGCATTCCATGATGTTCTTACATTTTTAGCTTCTATAATTAATTAAACTAAGTATTATTAATTTCAAAAATATATATCAATTATTTTTACAATATTAGTTATAAATATATAATGATTACTAATTAATGCATATTCGAAAAAAAATATGCATCTTAAATACTAAATCTAATAAGTATTATTTATACTTATAAAAATCATTTATAGGCATATATTTATTATATTAATTTTTGAGTTTTGATAATTACTTCATTTAAAAGTTAATCAAACTTGTAATTACACTTGTGACAATCAAACAGTATGCTTGTAATTACTCTGTAATTACGTTATGACAAACAAACATGTCATCGCAATTACTATACTGTGTAATTACTAGGGTGTGTAATTATTACCCTAATAATTACACCAATTCCAATTACAAGGTCAGTTTTCAAACTGACCCTTAATGAAATGATTTATACCCCATATCTTTTGCTTTTTTAGACCATAAATATCAATTTCTTTTTTTCTTCTCTGAATTGAACTTCATGACCAGTTAAACATCGTCCCAAAAATTTAGACGGTGGGAGTACTATCTTTAGTTTTATTTGCTGATGAACAAAAACCGCAGCAGCAGCAACCTTATATGAACTTGAAAGCACGGACTAGAATATAAGATGAATGCACCATTCTTATTTAGTTTCAAGCACACAGTTAAAAGAGCACTTCAATTATTATTTGAAAGATTTTTTAAAGAGAGAAGGGCATGTCCCTTTGTATGAAAAATTTTATTTTGTGTCTCATACAATTTATATTAGTTGTATGAGGCACCTTTTTTGTCTCACAGTTTTGTGGACCCAGATTTGGACCCAAAAATATAAGATTGGGGTCCATAAATTCGTGAGACAAAAAGAAACCCCACACAACTAATGTCAGTTGTGTGAGGCACACCATAAAACTACTCCCTTTGTATAGTCCAACTGGCAAATTGAAAAGACATATGTAATCATTAATATGAACCTTATATAATATAGCACGTCAATCGCAAGATTAAAATAATGCTTTAGGAAATCAGGTTGTCAACTTTAAGGTTTATGGGTTCCTAATATGCCTCAGAACTCACAATTCGTCATAGTTATTAGGTTCACAGTTAAATATTTATGTAAATTTTGATGAATTTTTTAATATAAAATATAGTGTTTAAACAAAAGTAACTGGGTTCGGTCAAACTCGCACCTAATAGGCTAGCTCCACCTCTGGTTGTCAACTCTTTTTATATCAAAGCAATTAATTAATGAACCTTCAATGATTAATCTTCTATACACGCAACTCGAGCCTTGTGGAAAAAATACCTAGAAAAATTAGAAAGATGGCTGAAGATAAGAGAAATGAGATTCAAGATCTGTCTAAATCCATCACTCCAAGTGAAGAACCTGCTAAAGGTAATTAAGAGTTGAAAACTGTCTTATCTACATAATGTTTCACCAATTTTGTTTGTGCCTTTTTTCTTTTTAAAAGTTTTTCATATTACATAGGGCTTGTTGTCACTTATTCTTTTCATTTTCTCTTTTAGCAGAGGGTCTAGCTATCGGAAACAGTCTCTCTGCCCTCACAGGGTAGGGCTAAGGTCTGCGTATATACTATTGTCCCCTCCAAACCCCACTTATGAAAATTCACTGTGTTTGTTGTTGTTGTTGTCATATTACATAGGGGAATTAGGGAATGAGGGCAGTAGAAATTGTCCTTACCTATAGTACGAAATACTTCCACCGATACCACTAGACTATAACCCTTAATTAGTCGTCATGTTGCTTTCATTATTAAGATCTTTTTCTCTTTTTTCATTTTTCGCAAAATGATTTGGGTATGTATATGCTGAGGGTCTATTGAAAACAACCTCTCTATCTCACATAAGATCAGATCTGCGTACGTCCCACCCTACTCGGATCCTACTTATGAGATCATACTAGATATATTATTGTTGTTGATTCGGGTATGCCTATATTTTCATTTTTGTCAGGATTAGAAAATGCTAAAGATCAAGGGCTAGTGGAGAAAGATGAAGCAGCTAATGCTCAAGACGAGGGATTGGCGCACGTAGTTGTAAGAGCAAAAATGCCAGAACCTCCACGCAAACGACCTCCTCCAACGACTGGTTGAACTGAAATAATATAAGCCTAATTGGGAATTTCAAAGTTTAAGTGTTGTACATTTAAAGTACCAGATGTAATTGGTTAATTGCTTTTTTAATTTCTTCGTGCGTGTTTGTTCTTGCTCATCCTTATCCTTTCTTACTTGTGCTTCGATTTTTATCAAATATGATTGGTGAAAATACAATTGCGATGATAATGCAGTTTGTGTGTTTCAGAAGGGGAACCTTAGGGTAACTGGTAAGTTGTTACCATGTGACTAGGAGGTAATGGGTTCAAGCTGTGAAAACAGCCTCATGCAGAAATATAGGGTAAAATCGCATACAATAGACCCTTGTGGTCCGACCATTCCCCGGACCCCGCGCATAATACAGCAAGGTGATCAAACAAAGCACGCTATTCCTAGTCTATATTACATAGAGATCAGGCATTTAAAAAAGTAGTTACTGTAGAAAATCACGTAAATACACAGAGTCAATGCAGTGAAATATTAATAGGAACGTACCTTCAGCCATGGTTGTTCAAGTGATATAGGGAATCGACTTGGAAGAACCTTGACAGAAAACCTAGAGCCTTATCTAGCATGTGCCTATCGTAGGATGCCAGACTGATGGAGTCACAGGCGTATTTATAGGTAGCCAGGGACTCTTAGGCAAATATTTCTTTAAATTATAACTGCCCTAGAGACTCCTAGTATATGGTAGTTTCTTTCCATCAAAGAAATTACCATATATGCATAACTACAGAATATTATCTCATATATTATTTCCTTTGGGAGACAAGGTAAATAACTTATTACTATGTGGGCCACACTAGAAGTCTGACGGTAAATTTCTAACATTCTCCCACTTGGCCCATATATTAAAATCAGATAATCCTTTATGAGAGATAAACATATTATATGGCCAAAGACTTATCACTCAACTAAAAGTTATGCAACAATCACTTTAACTAGAATATATTATTACATGAATCATGGCGGTCATGCTTTTAAGCAAACACTTTCTTCCATGTATTACAATGCACAATGCATTCTAACAAAGTGTCTAACAACTTTATGACACTACTAGAAATCCGCCTAAAAGCGACCGCAAAAAGCGACCATAGTTGGTCGCTTTTAGGCTAAAAAGCGACCAAAAAGCGACCAAACGGACCTGGTAGCTATATTGATGGTCCCTTTTATTTGGGACCAAAGTTGGTCGCTAATTAGCGACCAACTTTGGTCTCTAGGCTAAATGGACCAAATATTCAGGATTTTGACTATAGCGACCAACTTTGGTCGCTTTATTAATTTAATAATATAAATTTGGCGACCAAAGGTGGTCTCTAAATATAATATATATATTTTTTTATTTATTATTAATCATTAAAAAAGCGACCAACTTTGGTCTCTAATACAAATATTTTATATTTTAAAATCTGAACAATAGAGACCAAAGTTGGTCGCTAAATTCAAGAATTTAATTTATTTTTTAAAGAGAAGCGACCAACTTTGGTCGCTATATTTCCAGAAATTGTATGTTTTTAATGGAATAGCGATCAAGTGTGGTCGCTTCTTTTGGAAATCTGGGTAAATAGCGACCAAGGTTGGTCGCTATTGCCCAGAAAATTATATTTTTAAAGTGAAAAGCGACCAAATAGAGACCAAAGTTGGTTGCTTTTCTTGGTATATTTTTGGCAGAAACTGCCTGTTTTGGCAGCTACACCA